CTGGGGAGGAAGAGAGTTTTTATTTCTGCAAATGGCTACAGGGAGAAGGCCTGGAAATTATCGCCAGGCCAACTCAGAATTACAAAGTTTTCCAGAGCTTATATACCTTCTAAGCTATATTAAGTGTGCATTCATCCAAAGACATAAGTGATTGACTTCTATTAATCTATAAGAAAGTTCTGAGTCCTGAAGACCTTCCTCTGGCGTCTCAGTAAATTTACTTAATCTAAATGGGTCCAGGTGCTGAGGTGATTACCCTTATCTTGTCTCCTGCTAAATCATGGAGGTTTGTGTGTTGGGGTGGGTTCCTTCAGACCTCTAGTAAACTTGTTTGTGGAGGTCTGGGGAGTTTCTTCAGACCCCCAGTAAAACTTGTTTAATCCTAAATGGGTCCTGTTAAGAATTCCTTCATTATCTTGCCATGCTTTAAGGCCTAGGAAAGGCCTAGGCAAAACTCTTGGTTGGCCTTTGTTACATTCCAGCCTTTGTATAGGGGACTGGCTCCTTCAGCTTTCACTGTTTAACTTAACCACGCAGTCAGTACTGAAACAGTTGTAATGGAGGCCTGCGTTAGTGAGGCCTGGCCTGCCACATTATGATGACCAACCAGTTCCACCTTTGAGGCTGTGAGAGCTTGAGTGAGCCATACAGCCGCCATGAACTGCAATTTTTTTTTTTCAATTGCAATATTATCTTGAACTTCCACCCCATAAGAGGTTGTCTTTTGGATAAAATCAGCATCCCAACGCATTTTTAAAATAATAAGCTATAATAGAAATATAAGGTTTTCAATTCATGCATTAGACTAGCAGCTTGGAAGGGAAGGGGACAGGGCAAACCAGGAGTGGGTGGAGCCAGCCCTTAAGAAGAGGTTGCACTGAGACTGCAGTGGGCTCAAGCCAGGACATAGAGTGTGACTGCCAGAGAGTGAAGTCCGGGGAAGTAGGAGGTGTCCTGGGTAGCAGGTTGGTGTAGGAAGTCCAGGCAAAGGTTTGCTGGCAGGGAGCCGACGGGGCTGATGAAAGCAATTCTGGACATCAGCCACAGAATCCAAGCTGGATAGGGAAGAAAGAGAAGCCAGCAGGGGCCAGTCAACTGGAAGAAGCAGGAGGATAGTAGGACTGGAATGCTGGCTGACTGCGTCAGGGAGCAGGCTGACTGCACTGAGGGCCTTAGGAGGTGGGATGGTGGGAACAGCAGCGGGAGCAGCCCTGGGGGAGGGGAAGCCCTGGGATGGAGCCTAGAAAGTGGGTGGCCCAAGCGAGCAAAAGAGAATAATGGCGATGGGGTGGGCAAGGACCTGGAAAGCAGGTGTGTTCAACAGTCGGTGGCGCCACCTGGACCCAGATGAGGAGCAGGGAAAGGAAGCCTAGTCAGAGGTCATGGGCCTGAAAGGAGGGTGATGGGGTGTTGCTCTGTGAGCAGCCCTGCGGGCAAGCAGAGCCTGCCCTGCTCCTGGGCCTGAGGTGTGTGTCCTGGGGAGGTGCAGGTCCTTTGCTTCAGAAGGGCATGAGTCTGGAGTCCCTCCGCGCTCTGGAGGGAGCCCAGGCCTATGGAGGAAAAAAGGCTTTCTGAGTAAATTCAAGGCAGAAGGGGGCTTCGTTGACCATGAGATGAGGATTCTACTGGCCCCACGGGAGTGCCATGGGAAAGGGGGAAGGATGGACGGGGGAATGGATGGATGGGGGATGGGATTTATTTAACTTGGGACGGAGCTCCACACCATATGTTCAGAAGTTCAGCTCTGCTATTGTTGACAATTACAGTGTGAGGAAGGAGGAGGGGGCGGGGTATGTGAAGAACAACAACAAACCTGGGCATTCTTTCTCTAGAGGCTTGGGAAATACATACAAGGGAAATAGTTGAGTAAATTAAATTGGGAACATCGTCACTAAATTCCAAGGCATTAGAAAAGAAAATTTCTTTATTTCGTGTGAAGGTGGGATCAGGGATAAGACTCGGGAATAGACAGATGAGAAAAGAGATTTCTAACATGTTTCTTTAATTCTGTCTGCAAAACTATATGGAACATAGAAAACTGGAAGGTGCCAATGTAAAGACTGAACAGGAGGAGGTGGGTGGTAAGAAGTACTATAAAAGGAACTAAAGGTGAAAATATAGCATTCAAATGCAAGCAAGATATATTTGGAGAGCTAACCAATGACAGTGCTCAGGAAATGGAGATTGCTAACCCAGTGATGAAAGACTAGGGCACTATTATATTTGGGATGGATTTGGGTTGAGAGGTGAGGGGGATGTCTGGAAAACAGACGTGTGCAAGAGCCATGGATTAGAATTCTGGCAGGCATGAGTGAGAAGAAGGTAAAATGCATCCTCGACATAGAATGAACCATGTACACCAGAATCTCAAAATTGCTTGGTTTAAGGGGGAAACTGAGGGAAAAGCCATTGATGACAGCAAGTTTCCACTTTAAGAAACTGAAAAGAGATCTAAGGTACAACATGGGGACTATAGATAATAAAATTGTACCGTATATGGGATTCATGCCATATGAGTAGATTTTAGCTAATGCTACCACAAAAAACAAAAAATAGGTAACTATGTCAGATGATGGATATGTTAGTTTGCTTCACTATAGCAACCTTTTTACTATCTGTATGTATTCTGTAACATCATGATATATTACACCTTAAATGTACATGGTAAAATTTATTTTTTAAAAAAGAAGAAAGTAGCAACAATGATAAAGCAATGGGGAAAACAGCTGATCAACAATATCATTCGTATTTTCAACAGTGGTACAGCAAAAAACTCGGAAACTATATTATTATTTTAAAGGAATTTGTAATAAGTGAATAAATACATTGCTTTCATTTATTTAAAAAAAGAAAAGGCCGAGTTTGGTAGCTCACACCTGTCATCCCAGCACTTTAGGAGGCTGAGGTGGGTGGATCACTTGAGGTCAGGAGTTCGAGACCAGCCTGGCCAACATGATGAAACCCT